TTTCATTTTTTTTCATTATAGACGATACAAATTGATATTCGCCAGACTAGGACCCAGACTCTATGTGCCAATTTTATTAGCTTGGATCTCTTCCTTCCTTCCTTCCTTCCTTCCTTCCTTCCTTCCTTCCTTCCTTCCTTCCTTCCTTCTTTCTTTCTTTCTTTCTTTCTTTCTTTCTTTCTTTCTTTCTTTCTTTCTTTCTTTCTGTTTTTTTTTCATTATAGAAGATACAAATGTTCCCCAGAGTAGGACACAGACTTTAGCTGCCAATTTTACTGGCTTGGATCTTCCTTCCTTTCTTCCCTCCCTCCCTCCCTTCCTTTCTTCTTTTTTTCACTCCTTCTTTTCTATCCTTCCGTCTTTCCCTCCCTCCTTTCCTTTTCTTTCACTCTTCCCTCCCTCCATTCCTTCCTTTCTTTTCATCTATGTCTGTCTGTCTCTGACTGTCTATATCTATCTATCTATCTATCTATCTATCTATCTATCTATCATTTTATTTATCTATTTATCATTCTATGTTATATCTATCTATCTATCTATCTATCTATCTATCTATCTATCTATCTATCTATCTATCTATCATCTTATTTATCTATTTATTATTCTCTCTATTTTATCTATCTATCTATCTATCTATCTATCTATCTATCTATCTATCTATCTATCTATCTATCTATCTATCTATCTATCTATCTATCATCTTATTTATCTATTTATCATTCTCTATCTCTATCTATCTATCTATCTATCTATCTATCTATCTATCTATCTATCTATCTATCTATCTGTCTATCTGTCTATCTATCTATCATCTATCTGTCTTATTTATCTATCATTCTATCTTATCTATCTGTCTGTCTATCTATCTATCTATCTATCTATCTATCTATCTATCTATCTATCTATCTATCTATCTATCGTCTTATTTATCTATCATTCTATCCTGTCTGTCTGTCTGTCTGTCTGTCTGTCTGTCTGTCTGTCTGTCTATCTATCTATCTATCTATCTATCTATCTATCTATCTATCTATCTATCTATCTATCTATCTATCTATCTATCACCTATTTACTTTATATCCTGCCTTTATGATTTTTGCAAATAACTCAGGGCAATGAACCTATGGGACCATCAGTGGTCCTAAGTGTGAGAAAAAAAAACCCACAGTCTTAAGTCATTCTTTTTGAGAACGGTTGCACCTTTGAACAGTCACTAAATGAATTGTTGCACACCGAGACCTGCCTGTATTTATTTTATGAGTGTATGGTTTTTATTTTGCCAATTCTTGTACCCCAGGAAAGAGATCAGCCCGTGTTCCTCCCAGCGGAAGTAGCTACCTCTTAGACCATTGAAATATTTGATACCTTCTGGAAAATTTGTAAAAAATGGAGGGACAATAGGAATAAGAATTGTAGAGATAAGAAGAAGGTATAGAAATGTATATAAATAATTAGAAATGTATGGAGATGTGTATTTGTAACAAAGATGCCTCAGTACCGTTAAAGATGATTGAGATGTGAAAAGAGAAAAAAGTGCAATAAAAATAATAAAAAGAAAAAGAAAAGAAAAAAGAAAAGTTTGATGCCACTTTTTCTCCTTCTCTGATCAGAGTGCCCTCATGCCGGCTCAGCTGTTCTTCAAGACTGAAGATGGGGATAGCTACCCTGTAATCTTCAAACACGGAGATGATTTACGCCAAGATCAACTCATTCTCCAGATCATTTCGCTGATGGACAAGGTGACGTTTTGCGATGTAGTTATTCAGCCCTGAAACCTAGTTAGTTCCAAGAGGAGATGGACTGGGGGTGTCGGGTGGGTGGGTAGGAATCTGTTAGATGTTTAACAGAGGTGGGGAAGGACTCAGTCCCATCCAGAATAAGCATTAAAGTTGTGGGAGTCTTTGATACTGTCTGAGCGGAGGGTTGGACTTAGAAGACCTCTAAGATTCCTTCCAATTCTGTTATTCGGTTACATATCTGCCAGATCAAAATAATGCTATGAGGCATTGCACATCAGAACAACTAGACACAAGGACAGTTATTTTTCCCCCATGCCATCATTCTGCTAAACAACTTGTTCCTACAACACTGTCAAATTAGTCACTTATCTTCTTATCACTGTAACTTTGTCACTTGTATCTTTACGATTTGTATTGTTTTATTTAGTTTCCCAGTACGATTTATGTCGATTGCTTATTTAGTATCATATGACTATCGCTTAACTGTTGTGTCCAATGATTTAGGATGAATGTATTTTTACGATCACTAGGATCGTGATTTATCGCTTATAGCTTTTATGTACACTGAGAGCTTAGGCACCGGAGACAAATTCCTTGTGTGTCCAATCACACTTGGCCAATAAAGAATTCTACTCTACTCTACTCTACTCTACTCTACTCTACTCTACTCTACTCTACTCTACTCTACTCTACTCTACTCTATTCTTTTTGCTTGTATCCTGCAATTTATATTGTTTTATTTACTTTCCTAGTATGATTTGGATTGCTTATTTAGTATCCTATGACTATCGCTAAGTGTTGTATCTTATGATTCTTGATGAATGTATTTTTTATGCACACTGAGAGCTTATGCACCCAAGACAAATTCCTTGTGTGTCCAACCACACTAGGCCAACAAAGAATTCAATTGTTGCTTGCAAATGTCTCATTGTGATCAACATTTTTATCCCTTAGCTCTTACGCAAGGAGAACCTGGATTTGAAGTTGACTCCCTACAAAGTGTTGGCTACAAGTACCAAACATGGTAAGAGTGTTTCCTCTTCCTTCTCCATCTTCTCGCTGTCTCCCCTATTTGGAGAATTAAAAAAATACAGGTAGTTTTCAACTTTGGACCACAATGGATCCTTCCCATCATGGTCATAAGTCATAAAATGGGTTCTTTTGCAGTAGTCATGAAATAAATACCCCCAGTTGTTAAGTAAACTGCCTGGTTGTTAAGTAAACACCGTGGTCATGAAGCAAACACTGCAGTCATTAAGCAAAGCAATGATTCAGTATGGACATACTTTTGCCAAAAAGATTTAGTAAAACCGTTGTAAAATGACTGACCACAGGATACTGCAAATGGCCATAAACCCAAAGCACGTTGCTAAACCACCACCCAGCCTAGGCTACTTCTAGTTTCAGTTTCCAAAACAGTCCTCATTAGCTGACTTAGTTGCTGTTCATTGGCTGACTGTGATGACCCAGTCAGTGGTATGCAAAAGAAACACGGTCACAGGAAACAGGTGAAGCCCCTTTTATTCCTTCACTTTGCTTCCAAGCTCTGAATATCTTTTGATGGAAGACAAAAAAAAAAAAAAACTCCCACACAAACAGTTACGAGAAGAAGGGAAAAAAAGCAACACAAACCAGGCAAGATAAGGGCTGGAGGACGTTCACAGATAACAACACATCCTGGGAAGGACGCCAAACTCAGAGAGGAACCCTAAACTAGAGATATTTCCACGCTTTGTTTCCGGCGTTTGCTCCTACGCAGGTCTGTCCTCTTATCCGGTTGTCACAGCTGCAGCCCATGAAGAAGATCGAGGCCCTCTCCTCCCGAGTAGACCACATCTCTCCCTTATCGTCTCCTCCCTGCTTGCGCTAGGATGGAGAGGGGATGGGCCTGGGTCCTCCTCTGACTGTTCAGCTGGCCTCTGCCCTTCCCCAGCCTCCTCCACAACCTCCAGAGGCACACTTCTACTCCTTGACAGCTGTTCCTCCTCTCCCTCAGAGTCAGTCTCCACCAGGGGTACGACACTGACCTTGCCACCATTTCATGAATATACTCTGACATAGAGGACTCCTCTATTTTGAAAGTTCTCACTCTCAAAAGAGGCCAGAGCTCCAACATGGAAAACGATACGATCCTCTTTCAAACACACATGTACCTTCTGGTTTATCTACTCCTTGCTTTCTCTATATAGGTGGTCCTTGACTTACAGCTGTTTGTTTAGTTCGCACTTGCAACAGCACTGAAAAAAAGTGACGTATGACCGCTTTTCACACTTGATCATTACAGCATCCCCATGATCGTGGGGTCAGAATTCGGACACCGGGCAGCTGACTCAAAGTTATGACGGTTGCAGTTTCTCGGGGTTGGATTATCCCCTTTTGTGACCTTCCCAGTTGGGGAAGCCAATTCACTTAAGTACTGCACCATTCACTTAACAACCACATGTTTCATTTAACAGCCACATGATTCACTTAAGAACCATTCGCTTAACAACCCTACAAGTCACTTAAGAACCACACAATTAAGTTAACAATCACACTATTCATTTTAACAACTGAATGATTCACTTAACAGCCACACAATTCACTTAACAACCGCATGATTCACTTAACAGCCACACAATTCACTTAACAACTGCATGATTCATTTTAACAACCACACAGTTCACTTAACAACCACATAATTCACTTAAAAGGCACACAATTCACTTAACAACTGCGTGATTCACTTAACAACCACACAATTCACTTAATAACTGCATGATTCATTTAACAACTGTATGATTCAATTAACAACCACATAATTCACTTAACAACCACATGGTTCACTTAACAACTGCATGATTCACTTAATAATAGCAGTGATTTGCCTGACAGTGTGGCAAAAAGGTCCTAAAATGAGGTAACTTGCTTAACAACTGACCTCCACCAAAGCACATTCCCATATTCATTTTTATCAGTTCTCTCGAAATTCCACTTCTTTTCTTAGAAGAGCAGCAAGTCTTTTTTTATCGGTATCAGTAGTCCTCGACATACGACCACAATTGACCCCAAAAATTCCTCTTGCGAAATGAGACTGTTGTTAAGTGAATTTTTGCTAAGCAAATCCCTGCAGTCGTTCAGCTAGTAACAGCGTTGTTAAGCAAATCTGGCTTCCCTGTTGATTTTTCATGTCACAAGGTCGCAAAGGGGGATCTCGTAGTAGTTTAAGTTTAATTGTCGTAAATACGAACCAAGTCCCTGGATTTTAATCATGTGACCATGGAATTCTTCCAGCCATCGTAAGTGTGAAAAACAGTCTTCATTCACTTTTTTTTCAGTGCTGTTGTACCATTGGTCACTAAATCATCATCATCTTTTAATGACCCCATAATCCCTTGCGGGGTGGAGTCTAGGCAACTGAAGGGAGATAACATAGTGTTTCCTGGCCTGATGCCTTCCTTGTTGCCAGTGCGGAGTTTTGTTCAGCAAAATATATTCTCAGTGTGCCCAGAGAGAGAGAAAAATATCTGCCTCTGCCTAGGATCAAACTCACAGCCTCCTGATTGTGAGGCGAGAGCTCCACCTCTAGGCCACCTCACCACTCACCTTTGGTCACTAAATGACCAAAGAATATGTGTCAGCCTTCAAGATCTTCCTCCTTTCCTTTGCTTCTTTCTGGCTGCCATGAGTAACGGGGGGTGGAAGGGGGAAATGTATGGGATGTAAGCTGCAAATGTTGCTAACTAATATTGTATAAACTGGGGAGGGTTTCAATTTCTTGCTTGGCGTTCTCTTCTCTGCGCAACTGCAAACCTTTATCTGAGTAAGCCAAGGTCAACTAATCATCACCACCTGGAGATGTCCACATGATGTAGTTCACAACTTTTCATTGGAAGAACCGTTTGGACTGTTGGGGGTGGGAACATTTCACTCCCTTGATGTATGTGATGTACGTGCCTATTTACCCAGATTCAGAATTTTCTTGTTGCTACCACTAAAGACATCTTTTCTCTAATTACAAGAGTCTAAGTATTTCTTTCCTGGATTTTGAATGGAACACCAGCTGACAATATGTTTCCATTCTCCTTCCCATAATATGAGCCTAAAATGCGATAAGGGGTAAAACTTGAGGTTCTTCTGATCTTGGAGAATCCTGATTTTCTTTCCGCTTCTCCAGGTTTCATGCAGTTCATCCAGTCGGTACCGGTGGCAGAGGTTCTCGCAACTGAAGAAAGCATCCAGGTGGGTCTTCTGACTTAAACCAGGGTTGGAGATGGAGACTGAACCCTGGTGATGCAGTGGTTAGAATGCAGTATTGTAGGCTGACTCTGCCGACTGCCAGCAGTTCGATTCTTTTTTCCCAGCTAATTTTCAATACCATCATCCTGTATTCCATTTCTAGACATGTACTTTTTTTCTCTCTCCACTAGGCGGCAGCAATAAACCAACCTTGGTTATTCTCAGAAAGCTAAGCAGAGTCAGGCTGGGTTGTTATTTGGATGGGAGCCACCAGGTGATATCTATGATGTGGGGTAGATTGGGAAACTGAGAAACACCCCAAAAGAGGTTTTTGGACAAGCTGTTCCTTATTCTTGCCAATTAATTGAGATGGATGGGTTTCTGATACCACCAGAGGTCAAGCTGCCACTGAAGAAATTTCATTTTTTAATCTTTAAAAATTTTCTATTGCTCCCATTGAATTAACTTCTCCAAAAAACACATTTTCCCCACAACAACGACCCTGTGAAATGTGTTGAGTTGAGAGAGAGTAACCGGCCCAAAGTCATCCAGCTGGCTTTCATGCCTAAGGCATAACTAGAACACAGAGTTTCTGGTAATTGGCTCAAAATCACTCAGTTGGCTTTCATGCCTAAGGTGGGACTAGAACTCCCAGTCTCCTG